GGATTGCAGTCGTTTAGCACGACGAAGCATTAGAAACGTCGAATTCCACCGCGTACGAACGTCTTGTATCGGAACAAGAGCTATAGAACCTATCTGGAGGCTACAGAAAGCTTCACGGCGCTGTGGGCTTGCGTTGATAAAGATAGCTAAGCTTCGAAGCTATAAAAATAGATTAGAAGTAGGTTTTTAATAGGTTTAATAGTGACGAGCCTTGTTTAAAGTGTCAATGATCTCCCGTTTTTGTTGTCTAGAACGAATTGATTAGTCCTAGGATTCAGTCCATTGCATTTGAGCAGTGTCGTTCTTTGGATTTGCCTTCATCTGACCCAGGAGTTGCTTCAAGCTTAGTTGGATAACATAGGCAATACATGGAACGCGAATGATTGCGGTATCATCGCCAAGATTAAGGGACTGGACAGTCTCTTGGATGCTTGCTACTAAAGTGTTATTGTTCGATGCATTGTCGGTAGTGATTGCAAGTACTCGATCGGTCAAATTGTACTTCTGTAGAAGCTGGAACAGAATAGCGCTAAGGTTAATACCTGAGTGTGTTCCATGAAGAGGCTCAAATCCCAGAAGTAGCTCCCGATAATTCCAGTCTTCATCAAGGAAGTAGCCCGTAACTACCATAAATGCCTGCTGGAAAGGAGATGTCCAACAGTCAAGGGCAATAGAAATCTTTCTATCTTTAGGAAGTTTCTGCAGTATATTCTGATGGCGTTCGAGCACCGTACTTCGTAGCCGGCGCCGTACTACCTTTGCAGATGGAATATCAAGCTGTCTTGGGGCATTTTGGGCTATAGATATCATATCACGGAACCCTGGATGCTCTAGAAGCTGGAAGGGTAGCCTCGATTCAGTAATAAATCGAAGAAGACTTGATTCCCATTTTTCCTGGCTAAATGGAGTATCGACTAGAGGGCTCCGCGCCTATAGAAGTAGTCGAAATCAGTGTATATCCTATAGACTATCGGGCTAGCTTACCGCTTGCATAAATTGCCTAATATTTTGGCTTTTTGGCTTCCTACTACAGCTAGTAGTATGTTTCTTCATCGTGGAAGTTCCATTTCCAAGCCCTGGGTGATCAAGGATAGCCTTGCAATGCTTGCACATAACCTTCGGCGCGCCATCACTAGCCCTAGCCACCTGATTAAAGTGGTGCCAAACGTCGGAAGAGTGTCGCGAGTCCCAGCGTATACGCTTCTTCCTTCCGAAGTCCGTTTGTAGCCACCATTGCACATAGTCATCACTCATTGTTTTAGAGTAGACCACGTATATAGTGATACGATCAGGTCGAACGCTCTCGAGGGAACTAGGCACCGAGGGCGAAGGTAATCCTAGTGGGATAAAATCAGTATCGCCCACAGAGCTCGCGACACAAGCGAAGTTTTGTTGGCTAATCGACAGATTAGGGGTCAGATTGCCCGATGGGAGGAGTTGAAGGTCATCTGAAAGGTCTATATTATACGAAGATGATGCGTAGGTATTAGTGAATTGAGACATCTAGTGATATAATAATTGACGAGCACTTAGCTGAGGATAGTCAAAAGTCTTATAGAAGAATTTCAACGCGTAAGCGTAGATTCTGGGGCCTCGTAGTACCCTGTTCTTCTAAAGTGAAAAATATGATGTATCAACAAAGGCCCATATAGGTAGATAAAAGCTATGCTTATTGGCTTATAGCCTATATATATAATGGGTAACCCGCGGGTAACCCGCTTATAACCCGTAAACCCATGGGTAACCCGTTTTCCTTAAACAATTTCCTTCTAAGTCTTCAATCAAGGTAAAATCAATCCACTTTTTCGCATTTAATAGCTTAAATAAGATAAAAGAGCATTCGATTAGTTAACGTATAGCTTAATGAATATATACTGATTGTTGTGAGATCAAAAATTCCTTATAAGCCATAGGATTGCAAGGACAATATAGAATTATATTGTCCTTGCAAAAATATACGTACTGCATTCTATAGTTTATATATATTTCCGCACTTCTGATGACAGTTTTGATGAATATTAGTTTTTACAACCCCAATAATATCATATAGTCCTCAAAGCGAAATATATAAGATTACTGCTATTCATTAATTAGAAAATAGACTAATTTCTTAATCTTTCATAAGGGAAAGAGGGTTTTGTTAATTAGAACCACAGAGGTGACCGGAACAGATGTAAATAACGGTATTTTATTGAGGTTAATCAGCAGTTTTGTGCGTCTTGGCGTAGACTAAATTAGGATATTTATGCCAAAACGGGTTCTTGGCGGGTAACCCGCGGGTACCCGCCAAGAACCCACGGGTCTACGGGTATGGGTTTTGGGTATTGGGTATGAACCCGACCCGCGGGTACGGGTCCTGAAGTTGGACCCAAACCCGACCCGAAGCGAGGTCTATCCACTAGACACAAGAAGAATGCGGTCGCGTTTCTTTGCTTCAATCCATCTAGGGGTCGACGGAATAATCACCGTATCATTAATTTCCATAACTCAGAAAGTAGGGACGAAAATCAGCCTAATAAGATAGTTTCTTTACCCTTAGAGCCTTTAGCCAATTAATCTTACCAGAAATATAGCAAACCAATTTGCGGAACCGAATTCATCACTAAGTATTACATATAGCCCTTTCCTTAATAGGGAGCTAGTCCAGTGAGTAACTCGTTTTCATTGATTAACTAGTTAGGATTTGCAATATGCTCCGACGGGCAAATAGTACCGCCCGCAATAATTATTAGCCCCGCAGGTTGTTGAACACGAGCGATAAAAGCCAATAGTCTTAATAATTAAACAAAATGATCTATCTCTAAAACGATTGATTGCAATATAAAAGTATCTTCCCCAGTGTCAAAATGTTGGTAGCACCTTATTTAGCTACTAACGCAGAGACTATGGACAACCCCAACCATAAGTATAAGTCGGTCGCCGCGCCAATTCAAGATCCATCTTGTCCAGCACTCGAGTATGGCGAATAATGCTCCATTCAAACAGAGGAAGAGGTTGCAGAGCAATGGCTATTAAATATATCCCAAGATTATACTAATTCGTTAGTAGTTGCCCGAATTAATACTGCCTTAAAGTTCCTAGTCCTAGGCCCTTTATGATCCTTCCTAACCTCTAGTCGAAGAGCTGAAGTGCTTAGATTAAGACTCTCTCCACCTCTCGCAGCTAGCTGCCTAAATGTTAAGATTCTACTCTATGTTGTGGGAGTCTTATTCCGCTAAGAAAGCCTATAGCTAGCGGCTTGAAAAAGAGAACGAGGCGCTACGTGCTATTAATATAAATTTATGCCAAGAACGAGAGTCTCTAGAATATCGACACGCTAACTAGGAAGCCTTACTTGTCTACTTTAAGGACGCCTTTGAAAACGTTCGGCGTGGTATCCTTAGTGTTCTTAAAGACTGGGAAAACTGCTCTCCTGAGCTTGTGCTAGAGCGTGATTCTACCCATAGCAATGGTGGCGATCTATAGTTGGCTTAGGCTTTTGCGGTAGAAGAGGATGTTTTGTCTTAACGCACTTGCCCTAAAGAAGATCGTCACTTTAGTACTAGGTTCGTGCTACCGCTAGGCTTTTCTTTATTTGCGTTTTGATAAACCAACCTCACCCCGTGATGGACTAACCTCACTCCGATAGAGTAGGTAATAAGTTTATCAAAAAATCCTGACAACTTAGCTACGTTATTAATCTAGAAACTACTGTCTAGGCGGTCTCTCAACCGCAGACTGCCAAGTCGCCGTAGCGAGGGGCAGTGTAGAATATATAGTTCTTGGTCTAACGAGGGCGAGAATCTGATATTTAAGCGCGTTAACTTTATAGCGGAGAAGATAGAACGTATACTAAGGTCTTTAGTCTTATAGGTGAATTCTCCGAGGGGGAGAAACCCAGTAAATGCTACCTAATACGCGGTTGCGAAGTTTAGGTCGTCTAGGAGGTTCGCAGTTATCTCTAAGGGCTATAACGAGAGTGCGGCGAGGCCCGCGGATAGTTTCATTATAGTGTTATAGTGTCACGCGAAATCGGTTTTCTAACTCGTGCTTTTGTCCTAGGGTTGAGTCTCCTCGCGCCGTCTATAAGACGTCGAAAATGCTTGTTATCAAAGAGTTTATCGTCAAGGAAGTTGTCAATATAGTAGGCTTAGAGAGGGGCTAGGTCGGCGAGTGTGGTGTTAGGCTTAACGGCCTTTTGACTAGCGTTACTAAGGAGTTATACGCTTAGCCATAAGGTCAATAAATATTTTGAAACTAGCTATACGGATAAATTCTGAAGCGTATAGTGCTTTCCGTAATTACGCTGAACGGAGAGGTAGACGGAACGTGTGTTAGCGCTGAGACCATTCTAGAGCAGTTTTAGGTGGCCTGTATTAAGCTAAGGAGCTCGTGAAGAGACCCACGCGGGCGGCTCACTACCAAGAGGTCCTACTAGTGGGGATAAATGTTAGCAATGTCTTCAAGATTATTACGTAAGAGCGCATCTACTAATATATTTTCCCGGGAGGGGACCTAGAATTAATTCATTATATTCCTAACCTCAAGCGCTATCGTCCAATACCCCTTTAGAGGCGGATAGCAGCAATAGTTATGACTGGTGCGAACGTATAGAAATTGCCCCCTGATAGGAGAAGAACACCAAAACCCGCGGCGGCCGACCTATATCGATGTACGACATCGTAGAGGGAGCCCGCCTAGTGCTGGACTATATAGAAAACAATAGCACAACAGACGGATACGTCACTAAATATATTCGGGCTGTCCGCTAGTACGCACTTAATACTATACCTAACGGGGCGACGGCCAAGGAATGGCGGAGGTGCTTGAAGTGCTAACCAAGATTAACGCCGACACTAAACGTCTGAACCAGTGAATGGACACCATCGAAAATACAACGAACACTATATTAACAACTTTGTCCTCCACTGTGGCTGATTCCGTAGTAGCGTGGCGCGACTTCTAAGCTAGAGACTAGCAGCGCGGCTTAGCCAAGGCGGCGTCACCTAGTACCTAGAGCAATGGCACGTCGTCTACCGAGGTGCCTAATATCGAATTTCGTGAGGATTGTCAAGTCATCGTGAAGGTTGGATCAAACCGTGAATAGATTCGTGGGCTCTCATCGAGGGAGCTGGTCGAGCGGGCGGAGCGCCAAAAGGTGACTACTACTCGACAGAAGAAATCTGCCGCTTTGGCTAAAGGGGCTGCCTTCATTACAGCTCGAAAACTACTATTAGGCGATGTAACTATAGTAGTAAATAGTGCTGCAGGGGAGGAGCTTCTTCGTAAGCATACGGGATAGTTAAAGGCATTTGGGCCCGCTTCCGTGGTCTAAGAGCCGTCGTAGGGCGTCGTGGCGTACCACGTTCCTATAAAATCGATGAAGCTAACCCCGGAGACGATAACTGACGTTGTAGCCAAACTGCTTCGATAGAGGAGCGAAAGCGCTAAGATCCAGTATCTTGGCTAGCTAACGCGACTAGGTATCTAGGCGGAGGGCTCGATCCTAATCGAGTTCACTAGCCCCGTTGTGGCCAACCGTGCTATTATCTCTGGTGTCGTTTAGGGGAAGCAAATCCGTAATGCGTCGCGAGTCTACCGCGAGGGACGGATGAAGCTATGCAGAAAATGCCAAAAACCGGGGCATATCTAGTTACACTGTTCCAACGTTTATAGATGCGGCCACTGCGCTAGCGAGCACCCGACCTAGGAGTGTCCATCGATACGGGGGCAGGCGATAATAATCAAATGTGCCAATTACGGCCAAGGACGTCGCCTAGCTAGTCGAGAATGTCCAGTGAAGATTGCGGCGTTAGATAAGGCAAAACAGGCACTGGCCGACTGCCCTACGTACCACCGCATCCTACTATATTTCCGAAATACCGTAAGCAGTGACACTACGTTATCTCCGTTCGGACTAAGTGCCACCGAAAGGGACGACCTAGATGCACCTATATATGCACCAAAGGGGGAGCAGGAGGCAGATCCCTCTCACCTGTCCCCGTAGGTTACAACGGAACCTAAGACAGAACCAATAAGAGAGGAGACATCACTCGAGGAACACATTAAACTCGCGAAGCCCAGAAGAGGACCGGGTCGCCCGAAAGGCTCAAAGACCAAGCCCAAAGATCACGTCTTGCCTCCAGTACAGTCGGCAAGTCAGCGGTCAACAAGATCCCAGACGGCCACCCAGAGAACTGAGTCTGAACACACGATGTCTAAGAAGTGCCGCGTGGGCGAACCGGAGGATATCATAGATGAGCAGCCGGACGACAGTGACTGGTTACGGCCACCCGTCCCGATACTATGCAAGTCCTCTCCTCCGGTGATCTTAACCGATGCACCCACAATCGAAGACCCAGACGATGATATATGGTACGAGGTCAGCGAGCGGAGTGACGACGATCAGTCACAGCAATGAAGTTCTTGGAAATAATCCCAAATCATTTCTCCGGACGTGGGAAAGAGTGTCGAGAAATACAGTATATCCGGAAATCGGTGTCACCCCCTACTCTTTCATTGTTCCCCGAACCCTAAATGCCAAGATACACTAAACTACTTTGGGAGAGGCTATGTCAGCCTCATTTTGTTTTTGGGATGTACCGTAAATTACTGGAAGACGCGCGCAGCGCGCGCATCGGCCCTGAAACGATGAAATTGAGTGGAAATAGAAGGAAAGTCGAGGGTGATAGAAAAGGTGAGTCGTAAGAGTCTACATGGTGGCATACACGGTAGCATACTCCTCGCATTGTGATTCGTTAACACTGCCGTGCGTGCATGACTAGCCGCACGTGATCTGCATGGACGGTGGTCGTTATCTAGATAGGGTCTGGTTAAATAATAGATTTCTTAAGTTGCGGTTTATCAGAATGCGCGGGGGATATATATGTGCGCTTCTAGAATTCTTCGGTCTGTGAGTGATAAACAAGGGGTATTTACGGGAATCCTAGATGAAAAGATGGTGTTCAGAAAGAATCACAGTCCTCACGGTGAACACGAATAGAATATTTCTAGGAGGAAGTAATGTTTGTTTGCTGAAATTGTCATTTTCCCCTTTGAACTGTAATGAATGGATAAGGTAAAAAGGGAAAGCGAATGGGAGGTTCTCCAACAATAAGTTGAGACAGAACATAATGTATGTGAGTAATGAGGTGAAGTTGTTCGTAGGACTGAACCTGGAAGAGAGTATGAGGTGCGAATTGGGGAAGAGGTTTAAATTGTTGAGCTTTGAATGAGAAGGTTAGTTTCTGGGTCTTTTTCGTGATCTCTGGGAACGCGGCTCTGGTGTAGGAGTGCGAGGTTGTGGTAAGGGTTGACTATCGTCGGTCGTGTCCGGCTAGGTTATTAACGTTCCTTCGCCGTCATTGTTTATGGAAGTAGTTCCTGTGGGGCTGTATGACTGTCGGAGGGTTGGGATCGAATCATCCTTCAACACGGGCGCTGGCTTGAGTGGAGAACTAGTATTAGCCCTTTGGGACCAGCGGTCCTGGCGTTTCCGTTTACTAGCTGTTGGAGATGGTGTGGATGGCAAAGATTGCGGTTGGGTTGGAAGGAAATGTATGTCGTCCGTAATCATAGCTAGCTGGCGATTGTTCTTGGTGATGCCGAAAATACGCCTTGTTAGAAAAATGTTGGTGTTGATGCTTAGTGGTGGGAAGTTCACCTAACGTTGCCCGTTCTTGAAGTATGTAGTAAGGGGGAATGTGTTATGGCTCCGAGTCGAACTGTTGTAAACTGTAGATTGGAGACGGTAGTGTAGGAGAGTTGTGCTAGTATTTAGTTGACCTTCACGCTTAAGGATAGTCGCAAGGACGGTTACGACGGGCAAAGCCGCTTCAGGGCAGTGTATAAAATATGAACTAGTATCTTCTTGGTCGCCTGGGTGCCTAGTGTGGGTCAATTTGTGTGCTTAGTGATTGTGAAAATTACTAACCTCTCAACGCCATGAGCATGGAGAAGGATGTGGAAGCCGTCACTGTTAGAGGAGGTGGCGAGAAAAGAGCCCTACGCATAAATAAAAGCGTTGGATTGGTAGAGGTCCGGTCGGTTCCCTTTATTGAATAATCGAATTAAAGTGGGAATGTCGTCCTGTTCAACATTGTCTGATTGTATATCTTTGTCCGGTATATTGAGTGATATACGTAACTGTATACATAGGCTTTTACCGGGGCGTGTTGGATCTTGTTTAATATGGTCGATGAAATCGCGAATATGAAGAATGGCTGGGAAAGAGCCTTGGGAAGGCATAATGGAGATGGACCGGTTTTGTGGGGGTTTGATAATCTAGTAGGATGAGAAGATATTGGTTATATGGGTTAATAGTTGAATAGAAGACGAAGATAGGAAGACATAGACGATAGTCTATATTCGTGTAGGTAGCTATATGGGTGGATCTGGCAGGGATAGCCCGGTCGATACCTGCGATAGTGCATGAATATAAGTGTAGATACGAAATATTAGAAGGAAAGTTTCCTCACCGCTTCCCTTAGGAAGGAGGTAGGCACAGAAGAGACAGGGATAGGCCCGTGTTTATTAACTTTATCGCCTATATACGTAAGATACGGGAAAAAATGACTGGGCATTAGGTGAGTTATCTCGAGGTATTAGATTGCCATTAGACATTGACATGGGACTCCCATGGGACTAAGGTCCGTCCCAAGTCCCACCTATGGGAATACCCATTTGGGTATGCTAAGGGAATACCCACCTATGGGAATACCTATGGGTCCTATGGGTACCCATAGACACCTGATTATGCCTGAATTCGCCTGAATTCGCCTGAATTTTGTGCATAAGATCACTGACTAATCTTTGTTATTTACGTTTGTTTCGGTTGGAATAAGTAATATCACTACTTTTTAACCTACCTACTAGGTAATTATAAGAAATAAAGTTGTTTATATATATAAAAGGGTCCGTTTCATCGGTCGCATTAATGTTTTAGGCCTATCGAAGTAAAGGTAAAAAAGCGGTGGTAGAAATTATGGTTTGTCCTCTAAGATATATATTTATTGTATACAACCAACCACTCTGCTATTATTTCCTTTGATTTTATTATATTATAATACTAGGTTATTATGGCTTATTTTACTAGTTAATTTAATTACTATAGCTTCTTTTATATATATTTATCTTATAAACACCTAATTGCTAGTGTAGGGTGTGTGGTTGAGAGAAAAAGGTTAGAGTTGAGAGCAAAAGTTAAGAAATTTCTAGGGGGCATGGCTCTTACTGAATTCTATGGGACTATGGGACTCCTATAGGACTACCTATATAAATATAGAGAGTTAGGCCAATAGGATAGGCTAAGTAGACCCACCTAGTACTGATTAGCTTATAAAGAACTAATAATATTAGGCTACGTGCTTAAAGCCCTTAATATGCCTTACCTTCTATCTAAGCTTTTTCTCTTTACCTTAGTCTTAGTTTCTCTTCACTTTCGCTAGTATGGTATACCTCTCGGACCCTATAAGCCAATCTATATATAGCGATAGTATTAATCCTATCCTTCTATCTGATTCTTTCTCTTTTGAACCAAACGAACTAACTGAAAGCTAAATAACTAAGCTTACACCACCACCACTACTACCACCCTCTATTTAACGTGTTAGAGACCGGACGAAACAGTAGGCACTTTGGACGGAAATAACTAAGACTGAATTTATTGAATAGTGGCTTACCACTCTATATAGGACAAAACCCGAAGCAAAATATATCCATTGGGATAGAAAGGGCTATCAATCTAATATATAGACGTATTTTGACTAAGTTGCATATATTAATATAGGAAAACCAATAGTTACTTGCAAAAGGTGTGGTATAATAATAAAGCATCTAGTAAAAGATAGGACATCTAGGATGCGACGACATCTAAAAAATGGTGCCTATTAGATAAAAAGTAAGCAAACAAGTATTAAGCACTTAATACAGAAAGTGGTATATTTACTAAAAAGTGAGAGAAAAGTAAGAGCAAAATAAGAGAAAACTAACCTATTATTCTCTCACTAGGCAGTCAACTCTAATCTATCCTAACCTTAGTCTGAAGAGCTCTAGTAGTAATAGCTTTTAACCACTATCACTAGCCTACGCCTACCCTTCCAAATTATTGAGAGCGAGCACTTCCAGAAGCTTCTACGCCTAACCTAGTCAGCCCCTTCAATCCTAACCTTTCCTACCGGTCGTATGATATAGCGCCGACTACGAAATATAGTCGAAGACTAATAGAAAGATACCCTTCAGATGCTTCCACCCTATTTAAAGCTCTCAATTAGTCTAGATTGCTAGACATCACCCTTTCAGCAAGCATTTATGGCTATTACTAGTTATTTCCTAGACTAGAATTAGGATTACTAAGAGGTGCTTCTAGGATTTGAACCCCTAGAAGGAATATATACTAGGACGAATCTTAGGTTAGTCCTAACTGATACCCTTTAAAAGTATTAGATTCTAGACTAGATTATGGCTATTACTACGGATAATGCGTTAAATAACTAGACGATGATTATAAGCATCTAAGCTAGTTATCTTGGTCTACCTTTGATCTGTATTCCTTGCCTTGCGTATGTGATTTAGCTTAGTCTAAAACAGCTTCTTAGTTAGATGAAGGCAAACCCCTAGAATGATATAGTGGAAATGGTTTGGACAGAAGAGCATAGTCGGGCTGCTACTCGGGCTTAATAGAGGTCTAGAAAGCTAGATATTGCGAATACCCTTCGTAAGGCTCGCAGTCTTACTATCTATATTAATATAAGCCTATAGAGATGGGATAACTTCCTAAAGCTTTAGACTAATCAGCCTACATTAGTCCTAATCTAGGACGTCCGTACGCGTTGGAATTCGATATATCTAATGCTTTACTAGGCTAAAAGGCTTTAATCTGATTTAAATCAGTACTGTATCACCTACTGGGTTGAATAGTTAATAATTAATTTAGAGGAATGGCGTTAGATTGATTATCTTCTTTATTTAACTAAGCCTTTCTTCTAATTTACCACTGCCCTATCTAAGACTAAGGATATTACTATCTATAGTGTTTTTAGTATCTATAATAAGCTTTTTGACCACCTTGAAGCTTCGATTCGGCAGTTGAGGCGGAAAAAGGTTAGTCTCCTATATTCTCTCCCTTTTCCGCTAATTATAACTCTGATTTTTCGCACTTCAACTTATATAATAAGGGTTAAAGTGCGAAAAATCAGAGTCACAATTAGCGGAAAAGGGATTTATTTAAGTCTTACTTACTTACTTTTCCTTCACTTCTAGGCTAGGTAGAAACGGTAGATGCTTGAAGCTCTTGAATTAGCTGAAAATAAGCTTCGAGAGTACTATATAAAAACAGATAATCTAGAACTTAGTGATATCTATGCGTATAGTATAATCCTCGCCCCTTAGCATAAGTTATAGTTCTTTTCTGGCCCCGACTGG